CAAATATCTCAGTATTGTATACGAGTTATATTTCGCAACATACCCTGCCATTAAAAAGAAAAAGACGGTAAATAAAAGGGTTAAGAACAAGTGCATAGTTTGAAAGTTTGCCTTTCGAGGTTACCACCTAGAATTTAAGCACCATAGCTCTGCAAGAACTTGTGTCCTTAAAAGGCTGAACTAGTGTTATAGCGCGAAACACTTTTTAGAATCACAAACTATTGGAGAACCGGTAGAAATAGCTTGGTGCAACTTTTCTGAGAATTTGAGTGATAAGGTTCACTTCGCGAACAACTGAACGTCTCGGTGTCACAGTAAACGGCTGGAACCTGTGGGTTCGGCATCGAAGAGAGTGAAAATTGATTACTGTTGATCGGAACTCGATCCGCCCTTGACAACATCAATTGTGCTCGAAGCCGAAACGGAAAGAGCACTCATGAAACAGTTTCTTTGCACTGTTTCTACATTGTTCATGATGTCTCCATAAAAAAGGATAACGTTTGTCGTTTTTGTGTGCTGCAAAACTATTGCAAAATTCTACATAATCACTTAGGAGAAGCGAAAAATCGCGTAAATCGGCATGGACAAGGTTTTAAAGACATTAAAGTTTATCGAGTATTCCAGCTAGCTAGAGAGAGCATTCTACTTCGAGGTATGTACACGCCCTCATTAAAAAATACGATCTTATCTTCCTAAATTAGGGAATGTGTATTGGCTTACTCAGTCAGTGATGTACGTAGTTGGAAAAAATGTCATATTCTCGTTCACATTATCACAAAATAAACAGGTGATGAAGGAGAAAAACAATAAAACGAATTCCTAGTGCATGCAAGCTGTCTTGCAGTGATCTTGTCTTCGTCGGTCTCGCCAACTTGCGCCACTCATACCTAAAACGTCTACAAGTCTCAGAAATGCTAATAATTTTAGAATTGACCATTGCAGCCAAAGTTTTGAATGGATATACCAAAATCTTCCTAAGGGATATTCAGCCAACTCAGCCTTTACATTTCTTGTTATCTGGCCTATCCGGTTTGGATGCCAATCAACCAGCCTTCGCTTTACCAGGCTTGGTGGGAAAGTTTTTGTTATAAATCACCCATTGAGTAATAGACTCCATACTAAATTCTTCCAAAACTTTTTAGAAAACACTCTTTTCTTCTAATTTACGACCAGATTCTATTTTCGTCGAGATCAGATAATACGTTGATTCAATGTGAGAGGCCTAGTAAGTGTCGCTACGTGTCTGTTTCGGATGTCAGACACAGCATTGCATTTGGGATTTATTAGTTCATGTCCAGAGCTCCCCGTCTCTTCAACAAGTTCATAAAGTCGTGAACTAAGGGAGCAGAAATCAGAGCAACACGGCTTTCACTTACTTTTCAGCCAAGATTGTATCGTTTGGGAATAATTGCCGACTTTCTGTCTTTACGGTCACTGAAATTCTGTTAGTTGTTAAATTCAGTGTCATTATGTACTATCACAACAGAACGAGAAATCAGTTATTTAAAGCATGCGCTCCCTTGTCGTAAAACTAGACGACTTGACAAATGAGTCTTACGTATTATCATTAAACGTACGAGGAGGGCAATATTTATTTGCAGCAGAGCCTCTGTAAGAATTGAAACCAATGGTTAGAAAAGTCTTAAACTTGAAAAGAGCCATTTATGTCTAAAATATATAATTGCTTTCGATGTGAATGAAACCTTTGATTTTCCTAAACATCGCTCCCCATTATTACAACTACAAGATTTTTTCGCATCACCAGCATGCAAAATTTCACCACGAGAAACAAAATGTTCCTTTGAAAGGCAGTGCTTGTTATGCAGACATGAGAGCTTTTAGTTTCTATGTTGTGATTTTAATTACGGCATCAATATACTTCAGGTGGACAGCTCTGCCGTGGCTCTTTCCAGGTTCTACCAAAGGACTGCTGTAAAAACTTTCTCTCTATCGTTTTCAGTCTGCGATACATCGAGAATTTGCACAGGTGATCCAAAATATCTAGAAAGCACAACCTCCTCTCTATATATTGTTTGACCCTCGAGAAGGACAAGTGAATGCGCCATTTGAGTTTTTTCTCCATGTTATTCTTTCAGTTTTAATTCTATATTAGGTATTCGTTGTTGTAAAGCGATTAATGGCCCTGCCCATTTGATGTGTGTTTTCGTGTCAAACGACTGCGCTTAGCTTAATTCTTCTCTTCGATTCATCATTCCCTCTTTGTTCCTCCAATTCATGTCCTTCCGTTTCCTATTCGCTAAAATTCTGCACCAACTCATTCGAATATTTGATCTGTTAGTGATCAGCAATTTTCTCTTGCTCTCTTTTCTTGATCTAATTCATTCACTTCATAATCTTGTCTGTATTAAGCTGTCCACATATATTCTGCAACATTTCAGTTCTTCGTTTTAACCTGCAACATTTATTATATTAAACATGATAAAATATTCTTCGTTTCTTCATTGAAAAAATTTCTATTGAGTGTAAAACTCATCTCAAGCGGTGAGTGTGCAAAGGAGATTTTGTTTTCAATGCGATTGAGATCTAGGTTCCCTGATTTTCTGTTGTGCTTATGAGGTGTTTGGCTGACTAGATTTCAGTCAACAGCGACCCTTCGAAGCTCTGAAGAAGGCGAAGCGCGCCGAAACGTAAACTTTTTTGTGAATAAAGAGTAAAGTAAGAGCCTCCATAACATTTCGTTCGAATATTGTTCTTGCACAATGTCGATGACTTCTGGTGGAATCCGAGATTCTGTTATATATCATTGGCTTTTAAAGAGGAAAGCCAATCACCCAAGAATATTGACTAACCAGAAGAAACTGGGAGCAACTAATAATTTGTTTGTATTTCACAAGAGGTCGGTTTTGATTGATTTCACTCAAATATACGAGTAATATATTTTTAAGGGAAACAAACGAGTTTCATTGGTGACACAATGTGAGCGTGGCTCGTCACTAGTACCGAACTCCTTGAATTTATTACAACAAAATAGTAGTTTAATAATAATTTTCCAACACATTTGTCTAGACCGCTTCTAAAGTCACTTTTGGTGCACTTATTCGATCTACTCAAAGGCACAGTGGCAGAACAATATAATATAAAAATAAAAGATAAAACCTTCGACATTGATCAATCCCTGAGAGATGCCTCATGTATTCTGCTTCGTTGAGCATCGTTAGAGGAGACTGAGTGCATATGTGCTCGCGGTAAGCTAACGATTTATCAAGCCAATGCTGCTCTCCTCTCAGACAAATCAGGTTCCAATTTGCCCATCCCGGAGGGATGGAAGGCTTGGTTGGCCTGGGACGGGATCGAACCAATATGTACTGCAAGGAGTCTCTAATCATTGCGCTATGCGCGGCCATCCAATACAGCATATCTCCCAATAATCACTCAGCATGATTGCTACAGGGTATTCCTAGGTATCTATCAGTATTTACGACAAGAAATAATAATCCATATCACAACCTGCAGTTCACTTGAAAGCAAACCTATGTAAGTAAATTTTGTTGTCTTCAAAGCAGCTTAGTTGCAAATTAGATCTTTCTAGTGACAATAGCAGTTATTTTTTGCAATCTGGAATTTTGTAGTGCATTGAGTGGAACTGACTTCACTGGAGCGTCACACCAATGCAGCGATCTTAACCAGCAATATCGCATAATAACGGAGCGTGTTTGGTTGATCGCCATCCAAGATGAACTGTTTTCATGGTAACGATCGATACTGTGGACGATAGACCACGACATCGATAATGAACAACTTGTAGAAATCCTAAGACCGACTTTCTTGTAACCTGAGCCTTCAATAATACACTGTTTTCTTGATGAGCAAACACGAGGATATTAATAGCCTAACTGTTCTCTACTAACTGTTAACAACCTCGTCTTTGCTAATCAAGAAAATAATGTATTATTCATTAATAACTTGGTTTGAAGAAGTAGCCCGCTTTGGCAATCGACTTGAACTTAGCAAAATCAAAACTTTCGACCATGTTTAAACTTATCGAAGCAAGGGGACATTGTCCACCCATGTCCGACTTAATGAAAATCGGTGTTCTCTTCAAATGCTAAACACATCCATGAAATACGATTATCCCGCTAAGCTTCACTAAATTTTAGTTCTTAGGCGTAAATGTTCTTAGGCAGTCAAGTAGTCAGCCACTTTGTGTTGGATTATGCAAAACTAAATTTTAGCTGTGATACTCCCTCGAAACTATAGCTTTTTCGAACCTTTGCCAGTATACTAGCTTTAGCGGACACATGGAATCGAAAGGTTCTAGGAAATCATTCTGATTCAGATAATAATACTTTAACTTCGACTAGACAATCTATAAAATCCAGCCAGGTTCACTAATACTACACAGTATAATCTGGTGCTGCTGAATTACCCTTGCCATCAGCGGTACTTGTACGCCGACCAAATTCATGAATGCCAACGGTAACACTTGGTTAACACTTACGCAAAACGCTCTGACAAAGCATCCATTGAAGAGCGATGCAAACAATTAACAAAGAAAGATACAACAGATGAAATCTACTGTGCTTCAAGTCATCAAACAGGAAAACAATAAAGATGCAACTAATATGAAGTGTAAGGCCAGTTGCCGCTACGGCAAACATCCGGATCTAATCATTTCATCTCTAACAGTTCAAGACGTAGATGCTAGAAGATATCGGTAAAAATGGTTATACGTCAATTTTGGAGCAACCTTACACGTAGAAACGGAACGAAAACAATGTGTTCAGAGAACACCAGAAATAAAGCAAGTAGAAATCTTGCGAAGCAACAACAAAGAAAAGGGTCTAAGTGTGATAAAAACAACGACTAAGAAGTATGAATTATAATGCGCAAAAGATCGCGGATAGGCAGACGTCGGGTGAAAAATGCTCAGAATTTCAATTATGTTTTCAAGTTTTAAAAGAATTCATATGCGAAAATCTGAACCAATGACAAGCACATTAAGTGAGAATCATCCAGATGGAATAAGAAACACAACTGAATTAGGTTTGATTCTCTTCTGCCAATATATCCTCTATAGGTCTGCTTTCCTTCTTTGCTCGGAGATACGTCTGATAATGTGGAGATTCCTTAAAGGCTGCAGTAAGCCTCTTACGTCAAGAATAACATTATCATTTACTTATTATTAACCATTAGAAAAAAAGATTCGAAAAACGCCTAGATCATCGCCGCGTGCACTTTGAATTGGACACCACTGTTTCCTACTTCATGCATCTTATTTTTCAATTTTTAAAATTTTTTAAAATTTCATCAACTGTCTAAGTTTTCCTATGTACCTTCCCCAATTTTACAAATGCGGACAAGTTCTGTGTGTTACGAAAAGAGATCTCTATAAACGTTTCGGTCGTCGGCTTCACAACATTTCTCCTGTACACACTGGCATATTGTTATCTTCCATTACCATTCAGTTGTAAGCACAGCGGGTTTCAAAAATTGTAACGTTATCAAAGACGTGCGGGAACACACTGATTAGCCCGCAATCTTTGTACATGCGTCAGAATATCCTATTTCCCACAACACTAAAAACAATCTCCGTGGTAGAACCTACCTTAGAATGATTTTCACCAGCAAAAGTTTGGCACCACTAGATGAGCAAATTTCTACGGAAAGTTGCTTTTTTCAAAATTTGAACCCTAGAGAATAGCTCCTTTCGAAGGATTCCAGATGCACCATCTGTTTTTGGGAAGCCATTGATTAAATATAGAAATTATAAAAGAACAAAACTTTGTGCGACAAAAGAAATACCCAGGAAAAACACACACTAAAACCCATCCATACCGGTTAATGTGCCCATCCACAAAAGCATGAGTGGAAAGAAGCTCATGTTAGCTGTAGATTTTACCACTCCAAACTAACGAATGAAATCCAAAACATAAATACTAGTACGTATACTAAAGAATGCCCGTTCTGTGAGACTAAGTAACCTAACAGATCAATTTTGGAGGAATGCAGTATTTATTATTTATTTACCTTGAAAATTCTAATTTTCCTCTGAATCCCACGTGCATTTTCCTTGTAAACATTCCTTGGATCTGCAGCCATGGCCTGGAACATAATAAATTCAAAGGTGCAGGGTGATGAATACCTATGTTTCGAAAATCACATGGAAAAACCACTAACTACGTAGTCTTCCCCATATGAATCTATTAAGCCAGAACAAAATATTATGTCCTTAGGAAGTAGTTTGTATAGACGGTCGCGACTTGAAGGTGTCTAAAATAAAGAAATTTATCGTCTACAGCAAAAACTCGCGAATTTTCATTAGAAATCGAGTAACTCAACACTCCAACTTGAAGGAAGGTTGGATGTGTATCTGTCCTATTTCTCTGTTCTTGTTGGAAACTGAGACTGACACAATCTTGTACTAGAAACTTTTCGCATACCAATTCTATACATATTAAGAACGATGGACGAAAAGAATTGTAAAGTGGATTCCACGAGAATTCAGACGTCCCCTAGAACGGCCATCTACAGGTTGGGTGGACAACATGTTCGTAAACAAGGTTAATCAACTGTACGCGCAGCTGCGGTTATTTTGCAGATCACAGTATCAGACTCCCACGCGCCACCATGCTCGAATAAAACCACCACCATGGACGAAGATTGCGAAGGAAGGAAAAGAGTGGCAAATGTGCTGGGGTCCGCACAACTCGTAAAGACCGACCGTCGAAGTATCCAAAAAAGTACAGATATTAAGTTGTTCAATACGAAATTTCCGATTTTGTAACATGAATGTTTCAGGTGCTTTTATCCTCACTATCGTTCTTCATTTAAGAATATTTTGAACACCATTTCACATCTCTGAATTCGATCTTCAACATGCTATAATAGTTTGACCATATTTTTTTTGCTGCAAATACGTTCCAAACTATTTCTCGAATATAATGGAAGAAACTATTTGTAAAAAAAAAGATGCTACGAAGTGTACCTAACACTCCCAGTTCTACCTGTCTCCCAGCTAGTTCTATTGATCTTTTGCCATCAGCAATCACCCGTCAACGGGATTGATCTGGGGAGCTCAAATCGGCACTGAACCCAGTTAAGCTGAGGCTTAGTTATAATCACAGTCTTAACCCTTTTATTTACTGCCTTTTTCTTTTTAATGGCAGGGTATGTTGCGAAATATAACTCGTATATAATGCTGAGATATTTGCAAAACTCCGGACCGCAGGTGTATGCGGTGGGGAACGAACGCGCGCTATTGTCCTTACCGGGGAGTAGCGCACTTCACCACCACACCATCCACAAGATAAGATGAAGTCCCCAATTCATGACTGCCTAGGATTGCGTGGTTCAGGGTTAGGAAGAAATTGCAGTTTCTATTCATTTCTCCTTTCTTGAGAATTCAAACAATGTGGAAATGAACATAACATTTTTCAGAAGTTATGTATGTCCATAGAGCGTTAGTTCAAATTCTCCTCCACGGGTCGGCGCCATCTCGTCAGAGTACACGAGCTACCGAAAACCAGTACTTTTGCGGACGTGTTAACCAAAGCGGACTCACGTAAACTGTTCGATAATTCGGAAAAACATTGGTACCACGCACTATTGGAACGCCTTCCAGCTACTATAAACACTTTGTGAAAGTCAAAAGCTCAAAAAGTGGACCTTGAGAACAACATGTTAAACCATGCTGAATAAAGGTTGGTACAAACATATTTTAAGTCAAACGAACGTAATAAATTCCAAAATTGACAATACTGAATAACCTAATACCAGTTAATTGGACTACGATACCAATATTAAAAAAAACAAAAGCTCTTGGTGTTGATCAAACGATGAGGGATGCGCCAACGAATTCGACGTCATTAAGCATCGTTGGAGGTATTGAATGCGTATCTAGCCAGCACAATGACTGGCGGTGGCCTACCGATATATCGAGCCGGTGCTGCTATCCACCTGAGGAAACCTGCTGCCAATCTGCCGACCCCTGCGGGATGCCAGACTTATTGAGTCCTGCGAGCGGGGATCGATACCTTGTGTATTGCAGGGCGTCCCTGATAACTGCGCTACACGCGCCCATACCAATATTAACAAGCGAAAAACAAAAATAGAGAAAAGTTAAAAAAATGATCGAGACAAAATATGTGGAAGAGTCATAAAAGCGGCCCCATCTTTCAAGTTCACTTTTCAATTTCATTCGAAATTCATTTGGATATGAAGAATACCAAGCTACGAATAAGTGTAAAGTGTATAGTATAAATTTACACATGGGAAGCATCCTACACAGAATGGCAGTCGGACATTTTTGTATAAAACTAGCCAATTTATGTTTTTGTGCAACATTCTGTTCGAAGAATCCTGTTCAAAAGTTGTTACACTAAGCTTTAACGATCTTGTTATACGCTATTACATAGACTCCACTTTAACTGAGCAGTGGAGAAAGCATGGAACACTAGAACTTACCTGAAGAGCAAAAAAAAATAACGCTGCTGCAAAGTTAAACGTTTAAAAGTAAACGCTTTTTGTTTGTTTTGGACTACAAACCGTCGGTCTAGAGAAGTGATGTTGTTCAATAGGAAGTGGAGTGATGTGCGTTCTATGATTGGTCGAGGCACCTGATTTCTTCTCGGACACCACATTCAGTTGAGCTTCTTCTGTTGTCTTCTATAAACAAGGGCACTGATTAGCGGAACCTCTGCTACACTTAAGGAAAACAAATGTGCGCGTTCGCAGAAAGTTCTAGTGATTAACAGAGATTTTCATGCACAGACACTGCGAACAATCAATCAATACACATAATTATAGTTGGCGATGTGCTTTGCAGTGCTTTACATATTCCTTACCACACATATTCTTCTATAATGGCACTGTAGCTTCTAACAACGTTCCCGCCAATTACCATCTCTCTATCAAACAGTAAAAATTCATCGAAAAGTTGGAAACAGTCCATTTCGGTGCTAATCACAACATTTGAGGTCAGCGGATGATAGAAGAAAACAGTGTCTATTGACCACTCTTAGGCTAAGTAACAAAAAACGTAGGATCAAATGTCTGCACTGTCCCTTATAAAAATAGCTTTATAAAGACGAAATAGCTTGAAGTTTACAAGAATAATGCTGATAAACTCGAACATGAACCCTTCAGCAATTTTATGAAGCTAGACTGCTACAAGACTCGCGGGTGATAACAGCTCTCACGGAAACTTGCGCACATCTTTTGAAAAACCAACCATAGTCGGATCGCCTCCAGTAGTACTATGCATGATATTTGTGTATACATGTGCAACCAATTTATCAACGTTTTGGGCAAACTGCGTTGGTGATGTAGATGTAGTTGTGTGACCTGTGGTTTCTGAAATAGACATGAGGAAACGACAATTAACAAAGTGGTCTAAGGCAATATCAGTATGAAAGCAGAAATCCACTGGCAACATACTTTCACTTTCCTTGATCTGAGCTGGCATTTCTTCAACTTGAATAGATAATGGCGTTTTTTCTCCATCAACCTTCTGTGGGTTCACTAAGTCCTAAAAAACGTACCAATACTCACCTCTTAAAAACTCTTCATCTGATTTTGTTTATTAATTAAATTTGAATCGGCTTATTAGAAAATCACCGGCGAAATAGTCACGGAGGGCAGATGGTCCTCGGCAAGTTCTCCATGTTGGTCGTTCGTCTCCATGTGCTCATTCGTTTTGGACGAAGATTCATCCTAAAACTTAGCATAAATAACGGCTAGGTGCCATCGTTATTCACCCAGTGCCAAAAAACCGCGTTTTTTCCGTGGCTTTACGTGACAACAAAAAGTGTTCCATCCTTGCGAAGCACTCCTACCCCTGACTACGGTAACAGATCAAAAATCACAGAACGTGTGAGAATTAAGGCTTAAAGGGAGTTTTATACCTCAATGCTGCTGTCCACGAAAACATTAAGATTTCTCTCTCAAAAAAAAAATGAGAGTCAACACTTACGCAACGCATGCGTCATAATATGACTCATTGCACTTTTGTTTCCGGTTGGTTTTTTTTGTTGCTTAAACAATTTCAACGATAGTTTTGCAAAGATTTGACAGCTTCCCCATGACAGACGCTGAGTCAGGCTTTGACCGAAAGGAAAAAATTGCTTTCTGCAGAATCTAGTTCACAAAAAACTGCTTGGGAAACGAGTTTGAAAGCCTCATCGAATTCCGCAGTAAAATCCCTGCAAGCTGTACAGACAGTGTAGCAGGGAACGTGCTGCTGATAAAAATGCATGTGATGCTTCACTTTTGGGAAATTCGCATGGTGAAGATACCAACAAGCTCGTCATAATGCACTAAAACTTGTCCTGAAGTGACTTTAAGGTAACAACGTCCTATAATATTAATAGAATATATATATAGTGCAGCACCTTATAACACAAAGAATGAATGATCAAAACGTACTTCTACAAAGTTATTACTGTAGTGGCCTTTGCAATCGTTGTTAGTATCCTCCGGTTTGTATTTGTCTTTGGACACCTACAGTCATAAAGAGATATCATTTGTTGTATTCAGATTAATAGAATCACAAAACGACACCTCCCCACTCAAAAAAAGACAATGGAAAACTGAACATGATTCAACGCTTAAATTTGCTTAACTTTAATTGTATTTTAACCCACCACTAAACCAAGATTTAGCATTTCTGCATGCGAAGCAGGTTCACTGACACATGTAAGATCTTTAGCGTGAACCATGTCTCCATTCGCAAACTCCATAGATTCATTTTCGTCCATTTTAGTTTCTGTCTCTTCTTGGACCTTAATTTAAAACCGTAACGGATTGTCGAAAAATAAGGACATACTGCTCACAAATACCAATGGTTCTCTCCACTCCTTTGTTTTTCAGTTGTTGTGAGGAACAACTTTTAACTCACAAGAATTATATTGTTATAAGAGCGACTAAAAAAAAATTTCTCGCAACGAATGAAAGCATCGATCTTAACGTCGAAATATATCGTTTAGGAAAAGGAGCAGAGAAATCCTAGCCAACTTTGTGATGAGAAACCTACTGGAAAATAACCAACACTGCTACTGTAAATTGCCTTCATGAATCGTACCTGAATCACCTCCCTGGGTTTTTCATGTGGTTTGTGGATGTTCTGGACGTCTACGTGTGGTACATCATTGGTCACAACTGTCTCACGATCATCATTGTGAAATCCAGAATCGCTCTCACTCGTCTTCTTTTTCTTACCTCCCTTCTTTTTCGCGTGCTGAATTTTTCTGCGTAGAAGACTACGAGACATAGACGCTTCATTTCACTTAATGTTTACCTAGTTTACAACCTCTTTATTTTAGCTCTACAGCGCACTTCTTGATATCTTCAAAAATTATTTCCATATATTGTTGCGCCATACCAACAAAGCAATTTTAATTTGCGTACTACACTCACCTTATTCGCTTACAACGGCCATCATCGAACAATCTGAGCGAACAACAGTAAACTTCGTTCGTGCCACTTCGCATTAGAACTTTCAGGTCAACCCCACGTACTTAATGGGAACGTAGGAAATCACCACTTTTTTGTTTTGGTTAGACTAAAACCAAAAATAGATGTGCTTTTTCTGTGGTGACATAATCTTACTCTTAAAAGCTCATTCGAATTGGAAATGTCGAACCCTTGCTATAAATTATATATCCACACGAACTGATAAAGGTTAAAAAGGGTAACGATCGCGGAGTTGATCAATCACTGAAGAATGAACCATGCATTCGACTTCATTAAGCATCGTTTGGAAGTGACTGAATGCATATCTGGCCTTTAGAATGACTCGTGGTGGTCTGCTGATACTAGATCTGCTATCCTCCCAGACAAGTATGGTAGATATTTACCGACCCCAGAGCGATGGAGGGCTTGGTGAGCCTACGGCGCGGGGATCAATTCCATATGTATTGCAAGGCGCCTCCGACCACTGCGCACGAACTGATAGTAGTTCACAAATGCGAAGTGCGTTGAGGTTATGTGACAGTAATGTATCGTAGTGAAATTTTTACATCAAACATTAATTTACAGTAAATTATATGAGAGACATCATCGGTTTGCGCACAAACGATCTACTAATTGATTGGAAAACGTAAATATGAGCGGAAATAAAGTACCTGCGAAAACCACATATAATTAGGAGAGCTTTCAACAAAATACACGAGTGCAAAATCCTAGAAACTAGACATACCTTGCCGTCTTCATATACATCCTCATTTGTAGTCGTTTTGGAAGCTGTGACGTCAGCGACTTTCGTGGACGTGTCTTTTATATCACTTGGTTTCGTTTCCTTCTTCTTCCTCTTTTTCTCCACCTTAATCGTTTCAATCTGTCATTCAAAAAAAACATGTGATGAGTTTTATCATTTACCATCTGCATGTTCATGAATTATCCCGAGGTCAAAATTTTAAGGTGTGAAAAGGTCAGTTATGTCCTTCTAAATTTGTATACATGCACTTCAAAATAACACAACCTCTTCTTCAGAGCTCGAGAATGGAGCAGTTCGCTTATCTGTTTGTGATGGCCTTTCCTAAAATTTAAAATTATAATAATAGAGTGTTTGAGTGTTTCAGAACGGACACAGGCTCTTGTGACAAAGAATTAAACAGCTGCACATAGTACATCATCTTGTTTAGGTAGGCCTGCAAACATATACAACAGATACAACAACCTTCGTGACACCTTGCTCGCTTTCATTCAACTTCTCAGCATTTATCGTATTCTCTTTCTCTTTATTGACAACCTAAAACAAACTTGAAAAATAACGCTAGTAAGGGAACCTGGAGTTCAATATTACTAAGAGAACCTGCAGCGCGAAAGGAGAAAATCAACCAATAGAACATACTTCTTGTTCTTTTTTAGCCTTCTCAGCAGCTTTGCTCTCTAACTCCTGCTTCTTAGCAACTTCTTTCTGGACTTTCATTTCCTTTTTCTGCATCTCCTGCCGTTTCTGATGTTCGAGCTCCTCTTTACGTTTTTTCTCTCCGTCTCTTTTTAGTCTACGCTTTTCTCTCTAAATATGCCGAAAACGGATATTCGTTGTTTAGAGCAAAACAAGATGGAATTCCAAAGAAGACCCCAGTATGCTGACAGCTATACTAACCTCATTCTCTTTCCTCTCCTGTTCCAGTCTACGAATCTCGTCGTTGTTTCGCTTCGCCAACAATTTCTTCTCCTTTTTCTTTTCAGCGCGATGAGCGTATTCTTCATCGTTCACCGAAAACAGTTTTCTCAAATGTTGCTGAACAAGAATCATGCAAATATATTGACCACGAGCTGTGTAATCTATTCTACGAGTATAGTAATCGATTTATTTATACCAGTACTGGTCCAAAATGTTACTTTTATAGAGTGAGCTGAATGCAAACCGGTATCGAAATGCCCATTATACAGATGCTGCACAAAATAAATTGCAAATGACGTGCACTCTGCTCGGATCACCGCATGTCATTAGGTTCGTATGAAAATAATGGCAGATCCATAAAGTTTACAAACAAATTTAATAATAATTTTTCCACCCTACGTATGTTATGGCTCCAGGCTGTCTTAAAGCGTACCTCTTGCTCTACCATTTCACACATAATCCTTTTTTTAAAACTTTGTTTCCAAAGATACTAAACAAGTGATGATCTCGGGTAATCGGAATCACATCGCTTTCCTTCAAGAGTTTTAATTTGCATATGAAGCTACTGTAGAAAATCGAATTGTCGTTAAGGATAAGCACGCAACGCTACATGTGGTTCTTGACGTCTCGTATTGGAGATGTGAGTCTTCAGGATGGGGAAGAGGTGGACGTCTGTCGGCAGCTGAGCATGACCATCCGAAGTAAATAATCGAAACTGCCATATCGAAAACTAATTAAAGAGTTGTCAAAGAACTCAACATTTACGATCTTATCATTCGTCATCTGCAAGTCATTGGAATGTGAAAGAGCTCAATGTGTGCATGAAACGAGATCGTCGTTACGAAGTCTGCTCTTCGATTTAACACAAAGAAAACGGCGCACTGTGACATAAAACGAAAAGCGCATCCTATGCAGCAGTGGACGATGGTTAGCTCACGGTTTGCAACGAGTTGACGCTCCCAAGCATCTTCTAGGATCTAATTTGCACCAAAAAGTAAACAAAATTACTTTTTCGTTTTCAGTCGAGGAAATAATTTAATAAAAGTATTTGGTCTTGTCCGAAAGATGGCAATAAATGTAACTTCTAAAACAGGAGCAGCGTATGTACCCAGACTTGGACAACAGAAGAGGTTCGACAGTCATGGACAACAATGCTCGACCATACGTTACATTAGTAACCCGGCAGATCTTGAATGAGATGGTCTAAGAAACCCTGCCTCATCCATCATACTTTTCGGACCTTCCACTAACCAACTATTAAGCATCTGAATATTTAAAACCTAACAAGATCGTCAACAACAAAGATCGCTGCTGAATCCTACCGAATTTGTCCTCTTAAAAGATTCAGCACTTTACTTTATCAGAAAATGGTCCCTATTTCTACTAATGACTTGTTTAGGCCGAAACTTAAAAATTTAAAATTCACGGTCGAAAATCGCAATTACTTTTGGACTAAGCTAATAGATGGACAGAATTAACGACCGATTTAAATTTGCCTCTACAAACCTCCTTCAGTAGTGATATGTTTTTAATGCCCGAAGCCTGTTTCCTCATTGCCACCTCCGGACTGTAGATCAGTGTATGAGCCCTGAACAATTTCTTTCAGTGAATTTCTACTTCGTGCTTTTGAAGAGCAACTACTGACATCATGTTCTTCAGAATGCATTATCTAGCAAACAATACTATAATTTTAACTCAAGTACTTTTGTAATTGTAATCAAACACTTTTATACGTCCCACTAGCATTTGAACAACACCCCAAAGATACTTACTCTATGGCATAAATTTACAAGATGAATACCACTGGAAGTGACGTACCGTTCAAGAACTCCAACACAGAATAAGTAGGGAATTCACTGTTACGTCAATCTCATTCTCCCTTAATTTCAATCTTAAATGGGCACAAATAGCGCAGTGGTCGGCGCTCCTGCGATAAACATCGGATCGATCCTCGCGCCCAAGGCTCACCAAGCTTTCCACCCCCACGGGATCGCCGAATTGGTACCAGACTTGTCTGCGCGGATAGCAGCAACGGCTCCATACACCGGTAGGCTTCCGTGAGTCATTGTAAAGGCCAGATATACATTCAGTCATCTCCAGCGATGTTTGATAAAGTCGGATGCACGGCGCATCCCTCAGGGATTGATCAATGCCGAGAACTTCATCGTTTTTTTTAAATCAAACTTATTATATCAAACATTAAATTCACTGAGAGATACGTTCGAAAGAACGTAACATGAAAGTGTTGGCACTTAAAATTCAATATGATATAGCACCTGGTTGCATACAAAAAAAAACACTCACTTATAAAGAGCGCTGAGTGGCGGCTTCATGGTTTTCACCGCCTGATTAGGACTCTGCAAGGATTTCTGCTACAATTCCTTAACTACTCACCATTGCTTGCGTCTGAGACGTGCATTCTTGATCAGTTTCCCTCGATTTCGTCGGGTGTTCTTTCCATGATGGTTAGTATGAGGTCGTTTTACGGAACGGGCTGATCGCATCGAGATACCTGACTAATGCTATGCTTTAACTGAAAAGAAGAATAAACTCGTAACAGCTTGAAAAAAAAGTGGGCAAAGAAGCAAAAATCGATTGCTCTGTATTATGGAGAGAAAGCACTACAACACGACTTCACACATCAGTACAATTAAACTTCGCCTAGACAAGTATGCTCCGAATGTTTTTAGTGGGACAGAGAACAAAACTAAATGTGTATTCCATGTTTCCTTCAATAAGCAGACACGAGGTTGGTATTGAAGAAAACATTATTTAAGAAATACATTATTCATTGAAGAAAACACCGAATTACCAACCAATGCCGAGGTTAAAAGAAAGTCGGCCTTGGGAATTATTACGTGAAGTGGCAGTAAATATGTATTCACCAACGCTTGCCTAATCTACACAAAGTATGACAGTACAAAGCCGATGATCGAGTAATCCCAATGAAGTGACGGAGAAACAGTGGTCCACCTTCAGATGGTAAACAGAAGTCCAGGTAGTTATGAAAACTTGTTTTTATGAGAAGAAAACGGAGTTCGCGCGTAAGTTCAGCAACCTCACTCACATATTTAGCGATGACCTAGCACCCTCTTGTTTGAGATCATGAGATATCGCTGCTAGAGCTTTCCAGATTCTCACTACAACTGGGCAACAGCCCTAGTAGTTCGGAAGGCTTGCTGACTTGACACGAGCACCGTCTCATGAAGGAAGCGATTCATGTGATAAATTCATCAGTCGATCGATTACGATTCAACATTTACGCCAATATTGATGAGAACAACGAAAAATGAACGCGAAACCCAGATTCGCAACGTCGAAGAAACTTCGAAATTGGAAAACTCCGAAGCAGAAAAGTGATGTAGCGCTGTTCTATTACAAGGCTTCAACGGAGAACAAATTCCACAGGAACACTATCTGTTCCTTTCACTAGTGCATTTCGAACTTGTGCACACTTATGTTAGCTCTTTTGTTAAATCGCTGGTTTGGCCACCCTACATTTCACGATGTGCACGAATTTTCATTACGTGAAACTCGTATGCTTCTCACAAAGACATTCAATAACTGGAGGGATTGTGGTCTTTGTCGTGGCGAAACTAATCTGCAGCATTAGAACTGTTCTCCTCAAAAAACCAAACCCAAGAAAGCTAAAGTGGAGACATTTTAGTTTTCACATTTTCTTCATGCGAAGAATGACAAAAACTAAAAACACTTCAACGAGAAGCATTGAGCGCACAGAGTAATCTTGCCATATGTCCACCCTCCTTTCAGAAGCATTACGCTCAAGTAATTACTGCAATAATCACGTTCATTTAAATGATCCCGCGCCGAACATTCTTCGGTGGATCTCCTATTACTAGGAAAGCACTTTTATTGTCGTAATATGATTGCTTACGAAAAGGCCGTTAAAACATACGGTACGGCAGTATAGGTAGTTAGTTTTCATCTTCGACAATCACATACTACATAAAAACTGGTAAGTACTGTCCAAATATATAAACAGAATGCGATGAAAGCCGAAAACACTCTAGTTTCGTCGGCTCAAGCATGTGAAGCATCCATGGCTGGTGCTGGCATTGAAGTTCGATTTTCGCCGTCTTACTAGCCGAATCGATTAGTAACAACAATCATAAAAAGCAAGATGTATAAGTTGTCGGTACATCCACGTACTATGCTGTTTCTTATAGTCTTGAAACTATTTCTGGATTTTTACTATTCTGTAGAGCTTGCTGGAACTCTGATTCAAATCCATTTTACATTTTTACATCAGAATTATACTTCTTCCGTTATTCAGCTTCGATAGTTAATGTGACTGTTTTTCCCTTTGGAAGCATGAAAGGGACCCCTCCCCTGATTGTCACTGTTTCCAAAATCGAGAAAGGATTTGATTAGATCCAGTGCAGTAAAGTGGTATTTAGGCAGTGCACTGTCATACACTTGTCAGAAAGTGATCGAATTCTACTTAGTTGTGCCATCAAACCATGGCCATATCGAGGGGATTTTATTACGAGAAATGTTTTTTCACCGAAGTGACCTGATGTGAAGATGAACCAGCAAGAAAGTTGTCATTTTTATGTCCGTCTCCTGTTTCAAATATCTCGACAATATGATCACCTTCGCTGGCCTTTCGTATTGTTGGCACAGATCACTGCCTTAAGCTGATCACAAAGCACGAAGTTTGCTGTCATCAGCTGAACAGCTTGATGGGGAGGAATTATTAATATTTAATAACTTTTCTACGGAAGTAGAAGATGAACGATAGTTAAGTGAGGTTTAATGTATAACTCCTAGCTCTCAACTGATGGACAACTCATTAGAGTAACGCAGCATATGCACTGAAAATTTGCGGCAGAACTTTCTCTACAAAGACAAAAGTCCCACTTTTCATTTTTTTTTCCGTTAATCTTCCCGTCTTTGTACACCGCTGGATATCACCTGTATCAGCGGTAGGTTCTGCTCCCTCCAGGAATTCGTTGAGCATAAAATCTTTCTTCTATGGTTTCAGTGCAGAGTTCTGATCATGGAGTTGGTGTTCTGCTTGCTGTGCGTAGGCTTCCTGTGAAATCCAGCCGTTAACGGATGTTGACCATCGGTTGTCGTTCACACGCCTTACGTGTTCGATTCACTTTATCTTCGATAAACTGGCGTGTCGAAAGGCGTCTTTAATGCTTCACCATTGATTTAGGTCGCAGTTTCCGTTGCCCTCTCTCACTTGCTTGATACTGGTTACTCATAGTATCGTCCTTTCGACTGCACTTTCGAACGCTGAGTGGTTTTTCATTCTGCCTAGGCAACTGTCTTTAACGCATACGTTATGCTAGCGAAAATTGTGGAATCGAAAAGATGGGCACGGAGTTGGGTGTTCTTTGCTCTCTTCAGTATGTCTTCGGTGCTTCTGAAAGCTTCCCAAGCCGCTAGTTTCCTCCAACTCAACTCTGGAGCTAAGTTGCTCATCATGTTCACTTCCTGGCGTAGATAGACGTACGCGGAGCATTTGGAGATCTTCGTTCTGTTAATAGTGAATGGGGGCACAAACCCACACGTTTCTGATGAACATCGTTTTTGTGAGATTTATTCGTAGACTAATCCTTCCACAGGCTTTATCAAAGCCGGCAAGCATTCGTTCCGCTGGGTTAATGTTTGGTGTTATAAGAACGATGTAATAAGCAAAGCGAAGATGGTGTAACTGCCAACCAACAGTTTCCACTCCTATTTTATTCTATTCCAATACTCGCATGATGTTCTAGAAGGTGGCAGCTAATAATTTTCGTGAGACGGCGTCGCCTTGCCTAACCTCTCTTTTCACGTCGATGTTAATATCGTTGTAGAATGGTGATATTTCAGTTACGAAATTTTTTAAAAGCTCACGGAAAACCTTGATCTGCTGAGTAGGGACACGAAGGCGGTTCAGAGCACCTATGATTGCACGCATTAATCCTGCATGTATGTGAGTACGTGCAGTCCATGAATGGGTACTTTGGTTACCTACAAGATTACTATGGATAAATCTTAAAACTGAAAAAGAATAGATCTTAACAAATACGCGAAGAAATGACTTCATGCAGTCGTATTGTGCAAGACTAATAGCCGTTTTAACTTTAAACCCAAACGTCTCAGCTCATATCGAACTTTACTAATTTCGATAAAAACCACAAGAGTCCGCAAATCTTCGCCTGTTCTCTAGTTCTGCAAAGATGAAACTCCGATTTTCTAGGACCCACAAGACGTGCTTCTCACTTTTTCCACCAAAGCTCGCATTTTGAACAACAGATCATTTTAACAAGTTGGATTTTGTCCAACTAAGATGGTGCTGCCTAATGTATTGTTGACTTTCTAACTACCGCGCTTGCATGGAAAATTTCACAAACTTAAATTTCGTTTCCAATTTTTTTTCGAAGTGTCAATTCCATGCGAAAGCAATATTGAAAGAATGGTTTCAAAGAAGGTATGTACACCTTTAGATAAACGATAAAGTGAAATCTCTATCTTTAAGTCTATAATGTTCTCAACTCTTCTACTAGTTTGTCAACGGACCACTTACAGTCTGTGGAGAAACCACCTTCATTTCCAAAGTGTTAAAATTTAAAATAACTCTCCTTCTAAAAGATGAAATCGGGAACGACAAACAGAACCCTTTAGAATTCTTGAAAGGGCCTGATTTAGCATTCCTTTAGCTGGCCAAAAGCCATTTGTTTAATTAATTCTAATCTGTGGGATTAAATTAGATTCTGAAAAATTACAACATGCGCTTCTTAAATTTAGTTATTAACGTGCGCTTCAGTCCAGTTCTTCCAATATAAGTAGTAAGAGTGGACGTTTTCGAGACTTTCCAAGCATGCCTCGGCAAGACGATCTTTCTATCATATATTTGAGGAAAAAGGAAGTTGCAGCATAGGATTGAAAGATTTACGAAAGAAACCACCGATATGCAGATGTTAAAATAAACAACACATTCTTAACAATATGAGCCCCAAAAAGCTTATGCATGGTCGACAACAATTTAACCTTACAACTCTAAGCAATCACATCTCAGCTCAGGATCGATGCAGCGCAGTGGTTTTCCCGCAACACACGGTTGATCATTGGTTCTCCGCGAGCCACTCAAGCCACCACCACTTCGCGATGGTAATTTGATACCAAGCTTGATTAGGATGATAGAAAACATTGGTATGATACATTGGTGGACCACCGAAAAGAGACATTTAACAACCAAATTTTGTTTTCCGATTACTACTGATAACTTTTCGATAACTAGAGTGGGTAAGGAGTAGATAGCTTTATAACTGCATAACATAGAAGAGACTTTACCATGTTTAACTCTTATTTATTGCCT